TAGACAGCCAGCGCCTGCGGGGGACGCAGCAAAAAAAAAAAAAAACAAAACTGACATGGTAATGATACAGGATAGACATGTACATCAAGTGACCAGATAAATATTCGACTGATGTTCTGACCATTAAAGGTCCTGCAAATACACTGACCAATAACATTATCTGTGTCAGAGCTATTGGTTAATAATAAAAAAAAAAAATTTAGCGCTAAAAAGGTGTAGGACATGCCTTGTTTGTTGGTTAAACGGGTTAAATTACCCCGTTTCTCAATTAAAACACTGCAGTTTAACAAACAAACAAACAAACAAACAAGGCCTGGCTAGTTTAACTAGTTAAATATTAAGTAGGTCACACCTTGGGCAGTTTACCAGTACCAGTAACTTTTAAAGAAGATCTTTGTGTCTTTCTTCAATTCCTGCCAGTATATCAGTGTCGTCTTCAACTAAACAGGACAAGGTTTTTAGTCAATTATGAGGTCTTTTTTTTTTTTTTTTCCCTGATGATATACGCATGGGTCGTGGCTCAAAAAAAGTTGGGAAACACTGGAATAGATTCACAATTGCACTTTCATGTTTGACTCTAAATCACTTACCCCGTGTTCTAAATTAATACCTCATTCACACCTAAGGTCACTGATGAGTAAAACTAATTGGGACCATTCTTGTGGCCCACTGCCAAGGTTTTCAGAAAATACTTATGTTATGTGAGGATGTATTAGGTTCACTATTTACCTCAACTAACCTATTATATTATAGACAGTTCTAATTAGGACCAACCACAAAAATGAGTCAATTTACATTTGAAGTCAACTGAAAGCACAATGAAATCAAATGATCACAGTTCAAAGGCTCTTTGAACCTAGATCAAAACTAGCGCGGCAACTGCCTTTCTTATTTCCTTTCTTAAACACCCAGAGTTGTGTTATTATCAGGTCGTAACAGTCAATATCTTAAACCTTACAGAATGCCAAGTCTCACGGTGCATGGCTTCATTTCCAGTTTTTCCGGTGTGTGTGTTTACCTTCAGTGAACTGCTTTAGTGTATAGACACTTTTTAATTATCTCTGCCTTGGGTGCTGTTCCTGTGTCCTAATACCCATCGGTATGCAGAGTAAAAGTCTGGTGAACTTCATTTACCTTGTTTAACAAAGGAGTGTTTTTGGTGGAGGTGTTTATTATTGTCTGCTCATTAGTGCTTTGCACTAATGAGAAAGCCGGAGGGGTGTCGGCCTTGAGGTGGAGGCACGCAGCGCTCATTTTATTCGTCACATATTTAGTCATTAACATAAACTAATAATATAATTAGTTTATGTGTTTGGCTTTTTTTTTTTTTGGTATAATGCTGCAGTATAACATCCAATGACCTGCACCAGACCAGACCAGTCATGGTCACAGACACATCATGATAACATCAGAAACAGAACCAACACACAACGGCCTTGAGACAGAGGGGAAAAACAGCCACACTCATTTAACTCATTTAAGTTCAATGAACATGGTGGACTGGTACTGTCTGTAGTTCATAACAGGAAATAACAATATGAGTTGGACTCAGTTATTGACCATATTGTCCTGAACTGACAATAGCAAACACAAAAAAAAAAAATCATAAACACAGTTAAATAAAGGTCTAACCGTGCAGAATCTCCCTCAGGCTCAGTCTTTTAAAAGGAGGAAAATCAAAAACAAAAAGCTGTGTCGTGATCCAGATGTTGACATAAAACTGCTCAGCACAGCAGAACAGGTCATAGTTTCAACCACATAACTGAACGTTTTCACTAATCTCTGCAAAGAAACGCAGACTTTACCTCAGCACCGAGGGCGATGAGGGTCTCGATGAGCACGGCCGTCTGGAGCGTCATGTGGAGGCATCCTGCGATTCTGGCTCCCTTCAGTGGTTTGGACTCACCGTACATGTGTCTCATCTTCATAAGACCCGGCATCTCATTCTCGGCTATGTCGATGGCCTTACGACCCCATTCGGCCAGGCTGATGTCGGCTGAGGGAGAGAAAAGGAGCAGGTGAGGTTCTAGAGCGGATAGTCGGAGGAGCAGGAGATTAAACAGTGTTGACTTTAACTCCTGCAGGGATTCAGGTAAAAAAAAAAAACGGCATAATTGAGTTCTGCAACTTTTTACTTGTTTACTAATTAAGGAACCTCCACAACCAGAAGTTTCCTCAACCTGCACCTCCCACCCCACTCCAAATTGAAATACTCAATTTGTATACAATCATCTGATTATAAAAAAAAAATTGATAAAATGAGCTGCAATGCTGCCATCTAGTGACTGCCACTTTCACATACAGCCGTTTTCCCCCCAAAAACTAGGGCACTATTTCGATTGTTACTGATCACACAATTTAACATGTGTGAAACGTAGAGCAAACTTTCTTCTACTGAATGGAAAACTAAGACAAACAGTCATGGGGTATAAAGGTAAGAGAGAGGAAAAGAGAGGGAGAGGGAGGTAGGGAGAGAGCACACGTGAGAGAGAGAGAGAGAGAGCAAGCAGCTGTGTTTATTTTTATTTGATTTTGTGTTACTTTTGCAGAGGCAGAAGGTCAATAGTTCTAGGGACCAATAGTACTATGCTTCACATAAAAAAATTAAAAAAAACCCACTATCAGTAACAATAGGGTGATAACGGTTGAACACACACACAAGCACACAGAGATATGGACACACATCTGGTCATCTCCAGCTGCCCTCCCTCATACTGTAATCCTGTTGCCCTCAGTTCAGGATAGTGATGCCACTGATCTGATACAGATCACCAGAGATGTTTTCTATCCACATGTACCAACTCTACTCCGGTGTCCCCTCAGGTTAGAGGGCGTCAAAGTGCAGCCCAGTGTGGGCCTTCTACCGCCACCTGTTCAACGGTCTAGCCTGGATGAACTGGTGCAAACCAGAATGAAGCTAATTAACAACTGGGGGTCAAGCCGTGAGGGTGGAACTCCCCGTGGCCAAGTTAAACACTAACTTACTGAGAAAATAAAGTATCTCTGTGGCTTTGAGGGAGAGTGAGTGAGAGAGAGTGAGAGAGAGAGAGAGAGCAGAACCACCTGTTGTTCTTGCTGCCCCTCATGTCACAGCTGCAACACTGACAGTCGGGCTGCAATGCCTCAAAGGGCAAAAAGCAAAACAGAACTTTAGAAGTGTACCCACAGCGTATACGGTACTGACCTTTTATAACTGTTAAACATGCTAATAAATAAGCAATATTTGATTTTTTTTTTTTTTTCCAATTTCATCAAAATGTATTAAAAACCCTAAAGGAAACGTAGTTCTAAGAATAAAATCGAATACGTTACGTAAAAAAGCTGTGCGCAATTGATTATATTTCTGCTGCTACATTCTAACCTAAAAATAATACTAATGAATCGCAGTAATTTGTAATGTTAGTAGTAGTAGTAGTATTGATCGAAAGATCGACCGTCAATTAGTCATGTTTTTAAGACGCGACGTATTCAACTTAGTTCCACCGTCTGTCAACATATGTGCAACTTCTACAACTAAAAACCCACTGCTCATTGCAACTACTCAGCAGCGCTAGTTTCACTTTAGCTTACATTAAATATAATTATTAGTGCACTAGAATGGTTATGCATGTGCTGTTAAGATACATTTAAAAAACATTTTGTCGTTGTATCGTCTTAATCACTTCCGCGGAATAAAATTTCAGCCAGAGCACGTGTAGTGTCAGCGGTATTATGGTGGAATGAAATGACACTGTCCGTTTCAGCTTACACTCGCTCACGCCGAGCATCACGGGAATTTGTAGTTTACAAACACCGGGCTTTGCATTGCCGACCGCTGCCAACAGCTCTGTTGAACTACAACGCCCAGAAGCAGAGGTTGTGCAAACTGTAAATGTGCTCGCCACAGCTTAACCGTGTTACATATCAATTCATTATTAACTCTTCGTCACAAGTATAATAACTGCGACAATAAAATATGTTAAATATTTTAAACCAGTAATTATGTATGTCTCGACCTGGTTGGCAGGCTGCTAGTTACGAAATCTCGACCTGGTTGGCAGGCTGCTAGTTGAAGCCAAAAACTAAATTCTCTGTTCTATCTTATCAGGCTAGCGACAGTGAAACTGCTAAGCTACAACTAAAATTACAAGTTGTTGTTTTTTTAAGTAATTTAAGTAATTTATCAGTGTAAAAATAGTTATATTGTTTGCTGGAAGTCTTTGGTCTTAAAACAAACACATGTTAAGAGTTGCTGAATACATGTAACACCATTTATAAAACGTTGAAAAAAAAACACCCTCTTAGGTCGATAATAAAATAAAATCACTGACCAACTTTGAATGGAAGTTTGTCAGACATGGTGGTTTTTCTGCTGTTTTGGTCCGGGCAAGTTTGGTGGAGCTGCAACCTGGTCGGCGGGCAGAGGCAAACAGGGAGGAGTGGAAGCTTAAGCGCTCGGTTTTTATCGTTGGAGCCGAGCGTTCACGAGAGGCCGACACGAACTCCTGAGTTCTATTGGCCACACTAGGCCCCGCCCCTTACGCAAGCGATTTAATTGGAGCAGGTTAGACCTGGAACTGTCGACCTTTTCCCTACCAAAGTTTTGGAACAGGTTGGTCTGGACTGGATGAGACTGAAGTAAAGTCGTTGAATATGTTTAAATAATGTGGTCGTGTGACTGAATCTTACATCATAAATATTATATTCAAAAGTTTGTTGGAAAAGTTGCACATAGTGTACACTTGTAGACTCTACATTATTGGTCCAGTTCTTCCAGGTTTGCATAAAATATAAATGGCAGATTGTGTCAGCTTGTAACAACAACAATCAATCCTATGGTCACTCACAAGCTCTATTAAAAACAACAACAACTATCACAGCTGTGGTTGGGATTCCAGTCTGCTGCCCTCTGGTGCACAGCTGTGGTGGGATTCCAGTCTGCTGCCCTCTGGTGACGGGTCTCAATCCTCTCTTGTCAGTAGGCCATATGTTGCTTTTGGATTTAAGAAAATGAACCAGGGCGAAACTGTCTGGTTATCATTGAAAAATACTTTATTTCAAAATGCCTCACTGAAAGAATAACTTTTTGATAAAAAAGAGAATAACAAGTATCCTGGTCACGGTGAAGAAAAAAAAGTGAATAACAAGTATCCTGGTCACGGTGAGCAGCACATTCCACATGGAAATCATTTATTTTGTTTTTGTTATTTTCATCATATCATTATTTTCCTGAGGAGAAATAAAATAAACTGTCCAGTGATTAACTCCAGATAAACATTTCCCAACCTTACTTCTGGAATTAGTTGTAGAAAAAAAAATACAGACACAAGTGATCGGCTGGTCAACTGTACTGGTTAACTGTGCTGGTCAGTTGTACTGGTTAGCTGTATTGGTCAACTGTCTTTGTGTAGAAAATCAAAACTGTCCATATGATTCATTATGATCAAAAGGTTTCACTTCAACATCAGATTACAAACGCATAGAATGAAAGAGTCACAGCTGCTGGAGAGTGGAGGCTCAACTCAGCCCACTGGTGGAAACACTAACCTGGAGCTAAAATTAGAAGCTGGTTCAGATGGTTCTGGCCACCACAGTCTCATGTTGGATAGAGTTCAGTCCCTGTGTAACATAAAAAAATAAAAAAAAAACTGGAGGAAACCACTGTCTCCTAGTCATCTTGAATCAAAGAAATTCCTTTATATTTCATTAACTTCATTTTTTTTTTATATTCTAACACATTTTTAAATTCCCATAAAATAATAAAAAATTGTCAATAAAACATATATAACCTGAGAATCCTCTGAGACATAAATAACCTTATTATTTATGTCTCTGTCTTTTTCTCATTTAAGGCCAAATGCAACCAAAGAAGAGTCTTTTGGTTTGATTCCCAGAAGAAACGCAAAGCCCAATGGGCGCCTCCCGTGCCAACCTGCGTCAGTAGCAGGCGGTTTAGAGAGCTGACTTGTATGCACAAAGTTGCCGGTTCAAATCCTCCAGCTAACAGGTACCGCTGCGATGCACCAAGCACGGCACCGTCCCCACGTACGTAGCTCTCTCTGGGCGGCGCTCAGCTTGTCAAAGACAAAATGACAAAAAAAAAAAAATCTCTCCTAGAAAGATCTATGATTGGTTGAAAAGTCCTGGGATATCGACCTGGATCTATCTGCCGGGACATAAAGTCTGACTTGTCCAACAGTGAATCTGCCAGAGTCAGTGACAAGAATAGAAATAACAGTTTCAATAACTTGAAATGGTCACGGACGTAGAGAAGACCGTCAGGTTTTGTAAAGATGAGATATCATATTGCAACTTTATTCAAGGTCAAGTGTTGACAACAGAACAGCATCAGCAGGCGCAGAGCAACATGGCTGCACACAGAGAAATGTCCATGAGCCTGTGGAGCTCCGAGCCGAGGTGACTTCAGGTCAAAAGAATAGTAATGGATTTAAAACAGATGAAAAGAGAGAGAGAGAGAGAGAGAGAGAGAGAAAAAATCTATATATGGCATTTGTAGAAAAGTCTGTTTGAACAAAAGTGTTTCAATCCTTTATCCAGGTAACTGTATGAAGATAATGAACATTGATTTGATTTATTATTTTTTTTATTCATTGATAAATGATAAATGTTGTAAATAAGCTTTCATCAGCTTAGTGTATCTGCAGATGGATATAGATAGGTGGTGCTGTAGCACAGACGGAGAGCAGGAGCTGAAGACAGGCCAAATTCTCTTTTCATTGAAATCGAATTTTTACCTTCACTGCAGAAAAACAGGAGCGGGGAGGCGGGGGTGAATCCAGCTTTGTGTGTTATAGAGAATATATATATATATATATATATATAAAAACAACCAACCATTTCCTATCTGATTCTTTTAAACTCTGCGAGTTTGTGTGTTTCTCGGAAGACGTCACTGTGCGTGTGTGGGGAGGTGAACAAATGAGTTTCCTTTCTTTTGTTTTTGTTTTTTTTTACTAGAAACATTTGGTTTAAAAAGTGAGGGGAAAAAAAAAACAGAATGTGACGATTGTGAGAAAATATTCTAATTGGACAGAGCTACACGTCTACCGTTAGCTATGGTTTCAATGTAGCAGAGAGTCGGGTCGCGGCGGTCTGTCTGCAGTGACAACGTGGAGAACTAAGAAATGGCTGTGACGTCTTCCTGTGATTTCTTGGATTTTGCTTCCCGCGTCGTGTTTGATTTTTCTCAGGAACAAACGTTGCCGTGTTCCTTCACTCACACACACACACTGTTCTCTTCAAGTATGCAGTCAACACACGTTTGACCTAACCTTTCTCTCTCTGTCATAATTTCTTTTAAGGAAAACAAAAGGGCTGAACTGGAGTGTAAAAGGAAAAGCGGCCAATCAGAGGAGAGAAGCTTGGCCTTCACACCACCCCACTTTTTTTTTCTTTTTACAAACGTGAACCAATGTGTACTCCAGGGTCTGGGCGTGGACAGATGTGGGGATGCGGACTGAATAAAAGAGCAGTATGGGCAGCAGCCAGCTCGGTGGCAACCCACAGTCTCTGTCCGTCCTCCAGGGGGAGGAGAAGCTGTGCAGCTAGCAGGGAGACAGAGGAGCAGCAGGAGCTGGCCACCGCGACAAACTGGCTCAGTTGGCAGCCCAAGCTTCCAGTTCAGCAACATCATCGTCGTCTTCCTCCTTCATGACTGAAAAACACACAGAACCACAGAAAGTTCAGTTTCTCGTATCATTACTGCTAAAGAGTCATGTTTTATACAACCAGAGGGGGGCGGTATTTTGCAAAATAAAATATCAAATATCTAAAAAAAAAGTTTAAAAAAAAAATCATTTCCAGAAAAAAAATAATACACGTAATTAAATTAGAGTTCATTTCCAGAAAAAAATAATACACGTAATTAAATTAGACAAATAATAATGTTGGTAAAAATGTTTTATATATAGGGGTTGTGTTGAAAAAAATATTAAAAATTTTATTTCCTATTGAGAGTCTAAAAAACATTGCGAGCTTCAAGTCAATACAGCTCTTAACTTCTACGGTGAGATGTGAGTGAAGAGTAAAGGCCAGGAAGTAAAATACTGGTCCTGGTACCTGGTCTGGCTGGGAGTGATGTAGAAGGAACACTGGGAAGTGTGTCTGTTTCAGGAACTTCCAGGAGATTTCTGTCCAGCTCTTCCTGTTCTAAGTCCTCCAGTTCAGCCATCAGTTCATCCTAAACACACACAGAACACACACAGTATTAGTTCATAATATTTAAGAAAAAAATGTATATCGAAGTTTACAGCGAAACCTTCAAACTGCTCTCGACGTGTTATTTAAAAAAGTGAACTGTTACTGAAGGTTTGTGGACAGACGGCTGACCTTTTTCCTTGTCTTTAGTCGTGTACGTGTGTGCCTACGTGTGTGTGTTTACCTCGTCGTATTGTTCTCCAAAACCCACTGGTTTGGAAATGGCCTCTGAGATTTCATTGGCTAGTTCTTGCTGTTCCGTGATATCGTCCATCAAATCGTGGACATTGTCTACATCACTGCGACACATCAGGACAAACGGAGTGAGGACAAATAAACAAATGGACAGAAGACGGCGAGAAGATGTTTAGGTGACAATGGCAAACGTGAGGTTCTCACATGCTTTTGTGTGCCGCTTGTAACGCCTTGGCAGCGTAGCCCATGTTCTTGAGCACTTCTGTGTTGGTGTTAGCGTTCTCTAGCGCCTCCCTCTGGAACTCGATGGTCGACAAGGTCCCATCGATCTGAGCCAGCTGTGTCTCGTAGCGCTTTTTTCTCTTCAAAGCTTGTAAGGCCACTGAGAACAACAGACGGAAAAAAAAAAAAAAAAAAAATCAACGACTTTGTCTTTGGGTAGTTAGTTCAGGAGCAACTTTAACTTATTATTACACATTTAACCCATGCTCAGTTGGACTCCAGCCCCTTCTCATACTGCACTTTTTGCACATTTTGATTAGACCACTCCATTCAGGATCATATTTAGAACATGTCCTAAAGAACCAGGACACAGAACATTCTCCACTGGTGCCGATACTGGACGTTAGTATTTATTGGTCGATACATTCTGGCTCGACCAAAATTCAGATTTGCGTTTTTTGTTTGAATATATTTTTCTTTTGTGTTCATTTCATCGGGAGAACTACCAAGCGGTTATGGCAATATTTTCAGAACACCCGATTCACAGCTGTCTGTCTTCAGATCACCCACCCCTTTTCACTATTTTAGATCAATCGCCCATAGAAAGACAGATTTCATTCACAGCTAACAATCTGTCTTCAGATCACCCACCTTTGTATCACTATTTTGGATCAATCGCCCATAGAAAGACAGATTTTATTTTTTTAATTTTGAGGGTTTCTTAAGAGTCAGTCTCCTCTCCCATGTCAAAGACATCCACCGTGTGGCAGCATTTTACAAAAATAGACGGAGAACAAGTTAAAAAACAAGTTTCAAGCAATAGTTTGCATTTCACAGCTTAACTACAAACATGGCATATCATCTAAAACTGTAAGCAACCTGTCTGTATTAGGTTGTTCCATCCATATTGAGGATATAAACATATCAAAATTGGCATATTTCAGTGTTTCATAACTGCAGGCATACCAGCCTGCAACAATGACAGCATCCCTCAGACAAACCCAGACCTGGATGTTAAGCCTCCTCTTTCACTCAAACGCTTTATTTTTCAAGTTATTTTGCTTTGAGCGGCAGTGGTGCCTTGGTGGTTAAGGAAGCGGACTTGGGGCCGGGAGGCTTCAGGTTCGAGTCCACCAGCTGCCAAGTTGCCACTGAGGTGCTCTGATCACAGCACTGAACAGTGGGCAGCTTATAAGCTATGGGTTAAAAGCAGAGGTCACATTTCGTTGTGTCACAATGACAAATAATTTACTTTTACTTTCACTTTTTGCACTCATCTTGATATGCTGCATTTCATAAATAAAAGTGGACTTGCCTTTTGTGTTAAAGAGCGAGTTTTAAGTTTATTGTCTATTCGTGTCTCTGCCGCAAAACTGAACTCCCATGTTCTTGAGTGAAATGATGCTGTGATTTATTATAACATGACAAAAACAATCATCTTGATATTACTAAACGGTTCTTAGGATATTGCACAGATTCATGTGACGCAAAACGCTGTCAGAGCCAACAGCCTCAAGTGTGTAATTAATTTCGGTGCAAAATAATTAGGTCGAAACCGAATTAATATTAAGCAAATGAACTACTAGTTTCAGGGTTTTTTTTTTTTTAAATAATTTAGGCAGACAAGGCTACCAAACACTGTACCCACCACACACAATACACACACATATACAGAAACACACTCCTTGTGATTTATCACAACCCTAGTGGTGACACTTTTGCCACCTGTGTAACAACAGTTACAGCTACATCTCAGGTCAGGAGCATTCTGGCCAATGAGGGCAAATAATTCATATATTATAGTATTATTCTAACAGACAAAAGTAAAAACTTTAGTTTTATACTGGGGAGGGGGGGTTCTTGTTCTGTAATAATGGTGTAAACTTATGAAAACAATGTCAAAGTAATCAGAGGGACGGTAGAAAGTCTTTGGCCTGGCTCTTTGTGTTTTGTTTGTTTGGTGTAAAACCACCTGAGCTGCATTTGTCTGAGCTGAATAATCAAAAACATCAGCAACATAGTTGGGATGACTCAGTAGAAATGGACCATTATGTCTATTCTATTGTGTCAACTTGAACCAGACTGGTATAAACTGCAGGAAGGTAGCATTCCCAGAATTCAGTGTGCTGGGCTGAAATGCTAAGAAATGCTAATTTTCTGTTGGAGAATCTGTGGTAATGTTGATGTTCTGTCCACATGACAGAGCAAATGTGCTGCAGTTAAACCACTCAGGTCACCATCTTGTTACTTTACACAAATGTAAACATCTAGTTCCTGGTTTAAATGTATTTTCTCTCAGTTTTTTTTTTTTTGTTATTTTGTGTCACAATGCAGCAGAAAAGTTCATAGCTGGTTCTGTGAAGAGGAAATTGTTGTTTATTTTAAGAAAATTAAGTGGTTTGACCTTTGTACCGCCACTGAGATGTCACTGATTGTACACTAATTGTTTTAATGTTCTATTGTTGTCATGTACTGTGTTGTTATCTTTGTATTCACTGAAAGGCATCCTTGGGTGACAGAAAGGCACCTAGGAAATAAAATTATTATAATTTATTACTGAATTAATCATAATAATCCCAGATGACAACAGAGCATTATGATTAAGAAAACATGAGGCTAGTGATTACAAATAATGATTTTACTGGACAGAGTCGTTTTTATTTTGCTCTTTGAAAAAAGTCTGGAATATATATTAAGTAGATAATTAAAATGATCTATTTACGTACTATAATATTTCCCTATAAATCAATATAAATGTTTAGAAAACTTTTGTAAACAACATTTAAAGACCCCTGACCATTGTCTAGCATTGACACAACATTTTCTTACCGTCACCTTTGCTGTCGATTCTATTTTGTACTCTTGTCACCTTCAGGAGGTATTTAAAAATGGCATCAGACACGTTTTAGCTCAACAGCCTGTCAACTAAAACTTCCTCGTTCTCTGGTGTTAGCCTCGGGCTAATCCGCAAACTCACTATGGTTTGACGCCTGTCCTCCACCAGACTTTTTGTGTGCTTCCTCCTCACCTCGTTTGTTTTTTAGGCCATGTTTCTTGGCCGTCTGCACCTCCTGCTCGATCTTCTTTTCCAAGAACTCCTGTTTTTTCGCCAACATCTCCTCTGTGTCTCGAAGTTTCTGGATAGCCTGCTGAGGTGACGGCTCCTTCGAACCCTTTCCACCGCCGCCGAAAATCTTGGCTATGAGCGACATTATGGAAGTAAATGTGTAAAAGACCTGCGGAACTAACTGTAAACAAACCACCGACAGCTAAAGAAACGAACTAAGGATTGTTTAAAAGCCAGAATACTCTTTTCCAGGTTTAATGTCGGGAGTGGTAGACGCCACCGTTGCGTCTCTTGTTTTCTTCGGCTCTTCCGCCTTTTCCACACAGGCCTCGTGATGTCATTACGTCAGTCACATTACGCAATTCATGCGTAACACGCGCCAAGTACATAATAAGTGCTACAGATGCTAAAAAGACAAATGAATAAGTACTTTTTTATTTTTACTTTCAAAGGATAAAAGACCTATTTATTGTAACGTCACTTGTTTGTTTTATCGTTCTTTCTTTCCTCATTTCTTTTGGAAATAGATGTAAACCACTCACTAACCGCCCACATTTCTTTTGGAAATACATGTAAACCACTCACTAACCGCCCACATCCACTTAACACATATTCACTTAACCGGGGATTCCCAAAGTGTGGTCTTGCCACTAGGGGATGCGCGAGATCTAAAAACAATGTATTTTGAGTTTTAAATTCAAACGATTACATTTTGAATAACAAATACATGTGTGCTATTAATTGTCTTTAAGCAGTGAAGTAAAAATAAATATAACGTATAATAAATAAATAAATATAACAATTAATAAAAAAATAATACAGTTAATTAAAGTTATATTTAGAAACAACACTGTTAGAATATCAGCTCAACCAGACGGAGGCAGTGTTTGAAAAGGTATTTTATTGGAAAAGCCCTGCTGATTAGACCAGTGGTGTCTATGAATGCAGTTTATGATGTTACAACAGTGTAGGAACAACAAGTAAAACGTGTGCTTGAGAAACAAAGTGTAATTGAGATAAATCTATACCACACACACACAGATAGATACAGAGAGAGAGAGAGAATCAACTAAATACTTGTCCAATAATTAAGTGTGTGAAGTGTGTAAAAGACAGCAGGTGTTAAGCACTGTTTAAAAAGTTGTCAAAGGTTTAACACCTCAGCCACAGGAGTCAAAGGGCCAGCCGAGCTCCTTCAAAAAACTCCGCCTCCCATGATGCACCGCTCCATACTTCTCCAGCTGTAGATGTGAATGACCTGAGCGCCAACCAATGAGCGCCTGGGTTGTC